AAAAAAAGAATTAGATAAACTACAAAAGTGAGAAACAACCCAAAATCTGACCCACAAAAACTGAGTGTAGCCACAAGAAGGCCCAGGAAACACCCCGGCGAGCACAGAACCAACAATCACCGGGCCCCTTCTGGGAGCTGGCAGGAGTGGGGAAGTCTTTGGTCTTAAGCAGCAAGAGACCAGGCCCCCACGTGGCCGTGTGCAAAACTTGGTGCCCCCCAGATAACCAGAGTCTTGGTGAGGGGCCACTGAAGAACTACCCACCTGGCATGGGGGCTGTTAGGATATCACAGCACTTTGGAATGGAGAGAACTTAAATCCACTTGAAAGAGACGGGGTGGAGGGAAAGGGATGAGGCTTCTGGGAGGCAACTTTTAGCTATGATGGGACGCTCCACTGTTAAGACAGTAGTAATACTACTACTGCTCATAACAAAGGCTTAGGAAAGGCTATCTGAAAACCCTCAGGATCACCCTATAATCCCAGCTATTCAGAAGGCTGAGGCGGGAGGATCTCTTGAGACTAGGAGTTGGAGATTTAGCAAAGCTAAGATGATGCGATCCATAAGCCGTGAAGCCCAGTTACATGAAATGAAGCAGGAATCAAAACAAAGATCAGAAAAAGTAGGGAAGAAATACACATTGGACCCAAGGAAGTGCCAGGGTTTCGCTTACTATTGAACGTGAAAAGCCCAGCAGTGTAATTTTCTATTTCAGGGAAAATGTCTTACTCTTTGCAGTCTGAGCTGGTTCTTCTCTGTAGAACCTTTGACGAGTTTCTTAGTCATCTGAAACAAAAGAAAATCATCTTGAAACATGGATTGCTTCAATCACTGTAAGTAAAAGAAAAAAACTCCCAGATGACCAGCTTTGCCACCAACAGAGGCAAAATGTCATTGTGGTGTCACAAACCCAAATGAACGTGAAACACAGATGTGTGTATCCGGGTTGAGATGATAAGGGAGGCTGCGCAGGCAGATAAACTGTATGAAGCAGGCCACACGCAGAGAAACAAGCAAGCTCAGAAATGAGGCAACAGACAGCTGGACTTGGCGATGGCAACAGGGACAGGGCAGGACGTGCTAGGATCTGTGGCACATGAGGACTGGCTCACCCAAAGGGGACACGGTTCCTATGGGGATGTAGTCCCCAACTTGCTGACCCTCCCAATTTTCCCCAGAGAAACAGATACTGAAAATTTTGTGTGAATTTCTTCTTTAAAATTTGACAACATGGGTCATTGCCTTCCTAGACTCTGGTGCTCTTTGAGCCATGGCCGCTGCCATGTTTCCTGGCTTTGGCCCCCTTCCCTACCCTGGGGAGGTGAATCTCCTCTCTCTCTCTAATTTACTTGCTAAATAAGCTATATTTTCCAATCTACAAAAAACTGACAACATGTAAGTCAAATAAAACATGTCTTGAGGCTGCCATGTCTCGCAGAGGAAGATTGCTTGAGTACAGGAGTTTGAGACTAGCCTGGGCAAAGTAGAGAGATCCCATCACTATAAAAAAAAAAAAAAAAAAAAAAAGCTGGGCATGGTGGCGCCTGCAGTCCCAGCAACGAGGAAGGCCAAGCCATAGAGTCACTTGAACCCAGAAGTTCAAGGCTGCAGCGAGCCATGATCACACAGCACTCCAGCCCTTTCAGCGGCAGAGTGAGACCCTATTGCCAACAACAAAGGACACAGAGTGAAAGCTGAAGACCCAGGGGCGGCTTGCCAGGAGTAGCCATCTGGTCCATCACCCCTAGATCCAGGAACACAGGGTTCTCAGTCACCTGCCTCAAACTGAGCGGGGCCTACATGGTATCACCAAGATGCATGGCTCGACTTACCATCCGGCTAAATGGTCCCAGGTAGGAGCAGGGATAGGGAGGCTGGACTTTGGCCTAAGCGACCTCCAGCCAGGAGGGAGTGCTACCCAAACCAGGAGAGAGCGCGCAATGGCAAGAGCTAGGGCTGGAGAGAAAGCCCCTCCAGGGCCATCGCAGAGCAAGGCTGAAGCTAGGCTGGAAAACCAGAGGCCGCTTCCTCTGCTGTGGTCCTGACCAGGCCCTCTTACAGAACAAAACTGTTGGATGAATGCACTCAAGAGCCGAGGCGGGAGGGCAATTTGAGGCCAGGAGTTCAAGACTCAGCACAGAAGACCTGGGTAACACAGGAAGACCCTGTCTTCACAAAACAAAAATAAAAATATAGCTGGGTGCGGCAGCACACGCCTGTAGTCCCAGAACTCAGGAGGCAGAGGCGGGAGGTTTGCTTGAGCTTAGGTGTCCAGGGCTGCAGTGAGTCGTGATTACTGCACTCTAGCCTGGGAGACAGAGCCAGGCCTTGCCTCTAAGTAGTGAATGAATAAACTCAAGACAGCAGTTTTCTCACTTGGGTCCCACTCTGTTCTTTCTGGACTAAACCTTCCTTTAGAAAAGGATCACACAGCATAAGAAGGCCCATCATCCTGCACTGCTGGCAGGCGCTGTCACTACTGCAACTGGACCGGAGTTTTCGATCTTTACTGAGCACATGGCAACAGAAATATCAGTCCAGAGCAGCTTTGCCAAATGCTCAAGAAAAAGCATCTGCCTCTCCAGAAGCCACTCTGCCTGCCAAAGCTGTGCTTTCCCCCTCATTCCAAAGAATTCACAGCAGAATCTGGAAGTTGCTGTGTCTCTGTTGTTGCCTTTGTGGTCAAGGATCACAGCACGAATGTGACTGTGGGACTCCTGCATGAGCGCATCTGGGGGGAAACACATTTCTTTAGTCCACCCCATACTTGTAGCTCAGGAGTTTGAGACTAGCATGGGCAACGTAGCAAAGATCCCATCGCTCTAAAAAAAACCAAAAAAACAAAATTAGCTAGACATGGTGGAGCCAGTGGTCCAGCACCTGGAAAGGCTGAACCAGTAGGGTCACTGGAGCCCAGGAGTTCAAGACTCAGTCACATAACCTAGAGCAAAGGACCTTTACTACACGTCCCTTTGCTGTTAATCTAGGAAAAACACAGTTGACATGACTAGCAGGAACCAGCTTTATCACATCTAACAACCAGAGAAATTATGACTTAAGTTAAAGCCAGTATCTCTAGTTTTGAGTTTTGGGGACTACAATTAAAAATGATTTTTTTTAAATTTAAAAAACACCTAGTATCTCTTTTGTTTTACCAAACATTCAGATGGGCCTTATGATGTGATATAACTTTAATCTCCTTAAATTCTGACTCTCAAAATCATATGCAATGCTGCCACATTTTTCCTGCCTGGAGCCCAGCCACATAGCACCCTCAACTGCCAAGAACACGGTCCAGGATCCCAGAAGGAAGCTGAAACACAGAAATCAACCATTCCAAGAAGTCAAGACAGATCTCACTAAGTCTGGGCATTAACATTCCTGCACTTCTTCCAGGACAATCCTCTTAGAGCCTGCTTACTCTGATTTTATGCCTAAGGGTGTCTAATTTCTGAACCCAGAGCAGATAAGCTGCTAACAGGTAACAGCGGGGAGTGAAGGCAGAAGGGAAAAGGTTAAACCCCAACTTGGCCCAGCCACATCAGAGTGCAAATCGAGGGAAAAGAACATGCCCGCCACTGTGAGCTCTCTCCTGAACTGCCTGGGGCAGTATGTAGAGGGAAGAGCACAGTTTTGTCAAGGCCAAGCAGAGAAACAGCAGAAACACCCCCCATTGAGGACGGTTTTGTAAACTCCAGTGCATCGGCCACCACAGAGTACAACACGGCAGTTAGAAAAACATAGAGCTTTCCTCCCCAACACAAAAAGACTCAACACCCTTGAGTGAGAGAAGAGACGCCATACATATTTTATGTGAGGAAATAACACGATGCAGTGTTTCTGAAGGGTCTCTCTCTAAACGGATCAGACAGGGACATTTAACACGATAATGATAGTGACCCCAGGGGAGAGCCAGAGGGGTTAAAGGGGGCTGCCAAGTTGCCACTGTCTTTTTAAGCATGGAGAATTTAATACTTGCATACTCTCAATTATATAGGAGAAAGTTCTGAGACTCAGGGCACAGAGAGAGTCAAACATCCCAGTAACAAAACAGTATCAACATGATCACTTATGGAGTAGTCATCTTGATCACTAGCAGAACAGGCTACATCACAAGTCTAACTGCAAAGGAACTTGAGAAACAGTTCCTTCCCACATCACTAAAAGCTCCAATGTTTTTAAAAAAGAACTCTCCAGCTAGATCCTGGGAGCACCGAAAAAGGGTGTTTCTAAATCACTGCTGTTTTTTTTGCCCATTTTTTTGAGTCAGAGTCTCTCTCTGTTGCCCAGGTTGCAGTGCAGTGGCATGCTCATGGCTACCCCAGCCTTGCCTGTGATATAACTTTAATCTTCTTAAATTGTGACCAAGTGTTTATAGATCTCACTCTCAAAGGGCTCTGATGATCCTTCTCCCTCAGCCTTCCAAGTAGCTGGAACCCGGCTAATTTTTTGATTTATTGTAGAGACAAGGTCTCAACACGCTGCCCAACTGGTCTCAAACCCATGGGCTCAGACAGTCCTCTCGCCTTGGCCTCCCAAAGTGCTGGGACTACAGGCTTGAGCCACCAAGCCCGGCCAACTTGTTTTTTTAAAAGTGAGACTCTCCAGATCCTGGAGCACTCAAAACAAAAACAAAACCCCCAAGTTCCCCCAGAAAGGCCCACAGGATCTGCATTTTAACAAGCTCCCATCTTCTTTGTTTTAAATAAAAAAGGAAGCACACAAAGTAGAGCACCAAGGACCGCCTGGGGGTTCGAGATGCAGATATTTCACTGTACAAACTCCAGGAGGAACAGACCTCAGGAACAACCACACAGATTCACGGCACCATCAAACAATCTGGATGCTTCCAACCAGTTCCCCTCTACTATCTGGAAAGAAGAACTGGGAGGAAGGGACCTGGAAAACAAAAGTAGTGGGGGGGAGGGGCAGAGGTCTCCGAAGCCACTTCACCCCCTCTCACACCTTTTGGGGGGCCCAACACTCGCTACAGACAGCACCGCCGTGGGGGGCACAGCGATTTTCTGCTGTAGGCTCCGGGCCAGCCTGAAACCTCTGCCCCTTGCTGTGTGCATTCCGTGAAAAGCTGTGACCATGCTGCCTTCTAGGGCATTCCAGATCACGGAACCTGCGTCGAGGACATGACTTAGCGTCCTGAAGGCAGAGTTTCCTACACTTCACACGTTTGGATCATACCCTCGGACGCTGGAGGGACGTTTGGGTAGTGGGCAGACTCAAACTGCTTCACGACAATCCCAACAATGTGACCTGCCAGTTCGCAGCCTCAGCTGAGGACATGAAACAAGCTTCACGGAAACCCTTCCCACTCTCCAGGTTAAGTGGCTGCAACATATCACATGACAACGAGGTTCTGCAAAGCAGAAGCTGTGGCCAGGAAGAAGCCCCAACTGCTGAATGTGTGCAAGACGGCTGAGGGCAGAAAGTAGAACCCGGATTTGGGGAACTGAGTTACAGCTTAAATAGAAGTTCAGAAACATACACCTCAGCCTGCCACTTTGAAAATCTTAGAAGAAAAAGTCTGCTCCACCTTTGTTCCTGTTTCATGAATGGAAAAAGGAAGCCATTATTTCCTCTTAGCCTCTACTCCTCAGGAGGTGAAAGAAACAGAGTCGTTTAGAAAAATAAATGGTTCTTTAGCGACCAAAAGTCAGACAGCAAACAAGGTTGGTGGTTCATGAGCTTATGAAGCAGGGACAGTAGAGATGAAATGATCCATCTAGGGTGCGCTCTTATATAAAGACCTAGCATGAACTAACAAAAGTGCATAAAACCAAAGCGCAAAAGTACGATGCTAAACGTACTATGGCCGATTTTATCAGTTTGGCCCTTAAGACCCCAAGGACAGGTGAGAACCAAGACATTCGCCAGTGTGCTGAGCAGAAGGCAGTCACAGAAACAGACATTTCCAAAGCCACCTTCGGGGACCTTGAGAATGGCACCAGGCTCCTTGTTCTTTTGTTCCGGTCACCTGGGTGGGGTCTAAGAGGGGTGGCCGGGTTGACTCTACAGAATTCTCCTGCCGTCCTTCCTGCTGTCACTTCACCAACGCTCAGTGACTTCTTGCCCCAAAGGTCCTACAGACCAAGGCTGGGACAAGAGGGACGGAAGGGAGCAGGGCCTGAAGCCTGAGGGCAGGGTCGCGGCACCTGTGCACCCCCGTTATTCCCCAGAAGGGCTGACTCTTTCCACCGATGAGGCGTGAACGGTGAAGGCGGAAAATGGCAGGGCAGGGCCCACGCGGGTCCCGGCACGCCACAGTGTACACAGAACTGACCACAGTATGGTGTTGGGTACCAGAAAGAATTCTGCAGATGAAGTCGCAAGACCCAGTTTGTGGCCCTACTGTCACAGCCACGAACCACCTAGGTGACCTAGTCAGGACGGCAAGTGCTGGCCTGCCAGCAGCGACACGCTGGGGTTGTGGGGTGACACTCACCCTGCGGACGGGCATGGGGGCAGGGAGGGGGCTGACGTCGCTAGGCTGCTTTCTGGGAGCAGAAGGCCCATCAGGCGAGCTGGTGGGAGAGGGTGAGCTCAGGGAAGAGTGGCTGAGGACAGAGTCTTCTTCAGGGCACGACTCAGGCACCTCGCTCTCGGAGGTCACACTCTTGTCTCCAGGCGTCGCTGGGGGAGTCGTGGTTTGGGGAGGAGGCACGGCCAAGATATCCTGCAAGACCACCACGGGCACCTTCCCCTTGAACAGGATGCCTCCGACCTCACTCCAGCCATCTGGCCCCTGCTCTGAGCACGTTCGAGGCCCACCTGTGAGTTCCGGGCAGCTCTGTGGGGAGCACTCCTGGGAGCCGCCACTGCTCACTGAGCCACCAAAGCCATCCCCCTCCTCTGCTTTGCAAGGACTGGCTGAAAGGGTCTCCTCCGGAAATGCCAACTTGTCGTCCTGAGTGGCCTCTGACAGCCCCTGGTGATCTCCAGCTTCTTCTCTGACCCCGTTGACAGCTTCCCTGGAAGGAGAGGCTTCAGAACTCAGTTTATTGTGGTCCTCAGGACTGTCCGGTTCATCATCTGAGTCCTCTGTCAAATCAATGATAACTGTGCTCTGGTCAATACTGGTTTTGATTCTGTTTTCTAAAAAGTTGTCTAAGGGACCCTTCCCATTGACGAGTTTTGGTCTAAAGTCTATGTCAGAACCCATATGACAGTCATTCTGCAAGGCATCCAAAGAGGTTTCTAAATCAGGGACTTTCCTGGGCACAGAAGCACCCTGGCAGCTTCTCCCGTCATCTGACCCATCATCGGCTTTTTCCTTTGGGATGAGATTCAGGCGCTTGAATGGCAGACGGGCTGAAAGAGAGAGGTTGCCTTATTAGTGACAGTTGAGACTGACGGTCACATACCTGAAATTGATCTATCTGGATGGGATTTAAGGGGCACAATTTTAAAGTACATACCTTTCCACCATCCTAGTTTAAAAAAAACCAAAAAGACCAAATAAGCTTTTAGCAGAGATCCTGCCAGACTTTCAAGAGACATCTTCTGATCTGTCTGCGATTCCATTCGCAGCCCTAACTTGTTTATAGAGTATAAATCCCATGTGATAATAACCGCATCAGTTTCTCAAGCAGAAGACACACAGGCCCATTTGTGGAAAGGGTCCTTCTGGTCCCAGTATCCTCAGCTCTGTTAGTTCTTCTCATCAATCAAACAACTATCCTCGCAGTGCCTGCCAGGGTTCGGGCTGGTTATAGGAGACACAGCAATACCCAGGGACTGGGAAATTCAGGTGAGTGTACGTCCCAAGGAGCCGGCTTTCACCGAAATGCCACAGTAGTTTATATGAACTAGTTCGTACTGAAATCAGCCAAATACATCAGCCTGCTCTTGATCATGCTGAATCAGTTCACACAATAAGGATGCCCTTGGGCTCCTAAGGGCTGTCTCCTGCAGATGCCATCACCCTCACCAGGATTCCCAGCAACACAAACACACTATCAATGGTCACAGGAGGAAACCACTGGACACAAAGAGTATAGAAAACCAAGGCTGCAAAAGCAGAAGTCACAGCCACCCATCTGACCTCAGGCTGAATGCTCTCCCTGTCTCACACAGAAGGATTTGGGATATCGATCACCCTATACAGCACTGGTTCTCGGCAGGGGCTATTCCACCTCCCAGGGGACATCAGCAACATCCAGAGACCCCTTTGGTTGCTACGACTTAGAGGAAGAACCTACTGGCATCTGGTGGGAAGAGGCCAGGGATGCTGCTGAACTCCCTACAACGCACAGGACAGCCCCTCCAGGGGAAGAAATGATGCCAAAGTCAAGACACCCAGTTGGGGTCCTCAGTGACCTCATCAAGGGCTGGAGAGGAGAGAAAAGGCCACTCTCACACAGGGAAGTCAGGGAATCCACTTGCACGTATCGCGCTTCCTGGGGTTCCCAGCAGCACATCCAGAGACTGCAACAGGAGGCCATGAGGGACACAAGCAGGAACCACCACCAGCCCCTTCTAGACAGTTACCTTGTATCAACTTCTTCACAGGAAAAGCTGGTTTGTCTTTGCAGTCCATGGCTGTGAATAAAAACACCAAAGAATATGTTATTAACTGTTGAAAAAACAAGCCAGCAAATAAACACCCAGAGCCTGTGGACGCAGCAGCTGAGGGAGAGCAGATTCTAACCCCCCACACTTGGGGGACATCTGGTAACACCAAGAGACACTGTGGTTGTCTGGAGAAGGGGCGGCTTGAGGGATGCCGCTCACACCTGTGGGACTCACTGCCCTACAGTATACAGAACAGCCAAGCCAGACCTGGCCCCAAAGGCTGATGGGCCGAGAAGTCAGATGCCTCACATCTCATTTTCTTTGTGGCACGGAACGCTGAAACACTCACGTTTATTATGGTTTGTCATGTCTCTCCCCAATAGAATGCCAGCTCTGTGACAGCGGAGAGACTTGCTCCCTGCCGTGCCTATGGCATCTAGCTCAGAGCATGACTGGGAAGTCGGTGAACAGTATAATGGGAACTATGAAGAGTGGAACAAGAGAAAACACCAGATCACCCAGATACTAACATGACCCAAAACACCCTCCCCAGTCACCCTCCTCACCACCAAATCTGCAACATTAGAAAGGGGTTCTTGGGCCAGGCACGGTGGCTCAAGCCTGTAATCCCAGCACTTTGGGAGGCCGAGGCAAGAGGACTGCCTGAGCCCAGGGGTTTGAGACCAGCCTGGGCAACTTGGCGGAACCTCATCTCTACAATAAATAAAAAAATTAGCTGGGTGTGGTGACGCGTGCCTGTAAATTCCAGCTACTTGGGAGGCTGAGGCGGAAGGATCTCCTGAGCCCAGGAGGTCGAGCTGCAGTGGCTCTGAGCATGCCACCGCACTCCAGCCTGGGTAAGAGTGAGATTCCAACTCAAAAAACAAAAAGGAATCCTTTCCAGACACGGTGACTCACGCCTGTAATCCCAACACTTTGGGAGGCAGAGGCGAGAGGATTGCCCGAGCCCAGGGGTTTGAGACCAGCCTGGGCAACATGGCGAGATCTCATCTCTACAATAAATAAATAAAATTAGCCAGGCGTGGTGGCACGCACCTCTAGTTCCAGCTACTTGGAAGGCTGAGGTGGAAGGATCACCTGAGCCCAGCAGGTCGAGGCTGTGGTGGCTGTGAGTATGTCACTGCACTCCAGTCTGGGTGACAGAGTGAGACTCCAACTTAAAAAAAAAAAAAAGGGATCCTTTTTCTCTTTAAAGAGCTAGTGAAGGTAAAACAACTCAAAGCACGTTGAGCTTGTCAGGCAGAAGCAGATGTGCCATCAAGAAATGATAAATAACATTTTGGCTTCAAAAAAAATCTCAAGAAAAGCAACTGATTATATCAAAGCAGATGCAGGAATGACCATAAATAGAACCAAGTCCTTGGATAAATGTCTTTAAATAGTTAGAATAAGTTTAGCAGGTCACACCTACTGGGAGATCTAGCTTGGAAAATCTAGCTTAGTTATTTCGGGTCATCCACACATGTTTTGCAAAAGCGATGTGAAAGTTTTTTGTTGTTTTTTTTTTTGAGTTGGAGTCTCACTCTGTCGCCCAGGCTAGAGTGCAGTGGCACACTCACAGTCACCGCAGCCTTTACCTACAGCTGGGTTCAAGGTGATCCTTCCGCCTCAGTCCCCCCCGCCAGTAACTGGAACTACAGGCACATGCCACCACGCCCAGCTCATATTTTATTTATCGTAGAGATAAGGTCTCGCCAAGTTGCCCAGGCTGGTTTCGAACCCGTGGGCTCAGGCAATCCTCTCACCTCGGCCGTCCAATATGCTGGCATTATAGGAGTGAGCCAACGCGTCCAGTCAAAAGTGTGTTTTAAAAGCAGATCAGAGCTTTCTAAAAACTACGCTGTCCATGGAGGAAAGCCACCTCTCTTGCCGCCCCAATCTCGGGAATAAGAAAAGGCACTTGGAAGACTCACGCTTCTTTTCTACCCTTTTAAGGGACTGAAGATAGCATCATTCTCAAGTTTCGGTTCCCAGAAAACATGGGTATCTTTTCCCTCTCAACTGAAGGAGATGTATGTAATCTCTAGTCACCAGATTTATTTTTGAGGACAATCACAAGATTTATTTGTGTGGCCCCGAGTCACCAGCTTTGATGCAAGTGGAACAGAAACTACCTCAGGTATAAAAATGGGACAGACCACCCCGTTCAGGAGTCCAGGCTGTCTCCAGAATGTATAGGATCAGCACCTGTGTGAATGAAGTTACCAGCTGCTCTTTCTTTGGATATCCTTTCTAGTTTCATTTAACATGAAAACATCCTTTCCAGCCGGACACAGTGACTTAAGCCTGCAATCCCAGCACTTTGGGAGGCTGAAGCGAGAGAATTGCCTGAGACCAGCCTGGGCAACCTGGTCAGACCTCATCTCTACAATAAGCCAAAAAATTAGCTGGGCGTGGTGGTGTGTGCCTGTAGTTCCAGCTACTAGGGAGGCTGAGGCAGAAAAATCACCTTAGCCCAGCATGTCAAGGCTGCAGTGGCTGTGACAATTCCCCTGCACTCCAGCCTGGGCAACAGAGTTAGACCCCAACTCAAAAAACAAAAAAAAGAAAGCAAAGAATAGAAAACATCCTTTTCTAACTGGGCACTGTGGCTCAGGTTCGTTATCCCAGCATTTTGGGAGGCCGAGGTGGGAGGATCGCTGGAGCCCAGGAGTCCAAGACTAGCCTGGGCCACATAGTGAGATCTGTGCTCAAAAATTTAAAAAGTAGCCAGGTGTGGTGGCACACACCTGTAGTCCCAGTTCCTTAGGAGGCTGAGGCAAGAGGATCACTTGAGTCCAGGAGGTCGAGGCTGCAGTGAGCCACAATTCAGCCACTGCACTCCAGGCTGGGCCACAGAGCGAGACCCTTCTTCCACTTATGTCACAAAAATAAAAAACAAAGACACCCTTTCCCTGAATGATAGCATGACCATAGCGGGTAGTGATGCTTTTTTACATGCATTTCCCATCTCTTTGAAATCCCGAAGTCTAGGAGCAACTAGAGAAACGGTCCTCACCCAGAGGGAGTTCCTTTGCAAGGATAGGGGACACTTGGCAAGGCTCTTCTCCGTCGTCACGGCTGGGGGTGCTCCCGGCATGCAGTAGGCGGAGGC